CTTGGCCTTTTTAATTATTTTGAAAATAGTTTCCTTTCCCTCAGGAGACTGGTGAGGCCCCGCCTCCCCTGCCTCTAGTGACTGCACATCACTGACTGCCTGCAACCCACCACTGAACTGCTGTGATAGTTGGAGTTGCAAGGACCATTTGTAAGACACTTTCTTCAGTTTTGTAACTTTGAACAATTGCTGAATGAATGGTTGTAAGTTATAAGTCAAAGGGTACCTGTAATTGTCCCCCCGTTTTAATTTCAGTTTATTTTAAAGTACCAATATGAGGATGCCCTCTGTCTTGTGCATGCAGGCCATATGTATATTTCACCCAGTTCATATTTACAGATGCAGGGTGACAAGAAACATTTGCAGAAGGATTTTTTCCTTTACAATGCCTCCAAAGTAAAATGCAAGTCTTACATAAACATGCGAGAAATCACAGAACGCTTCCGGTTACCACCCAAGGAGTATGTCATCATTCCATCCACTTATGAACCCCACCAAGAAGGAGAATTTATCCTGAGAGTTTTCTCAGAAAAAAGAAGTCTTTCAGAGTAAGTAAAAGATTCCCATTTTGGATTTCAACACTTCCAAACCACATATATGCACACCCATATTGCTTTATGTTTATTTCAGTACCTTTTATACCAATCCTGTTCAATATTAAGTGAGAATGCAGAAGTCAGCAAGACAGCATCTTTGGGCCCACTTATTTCAATGACACCATTAGATGGGGATGCTGGACTTTCAAAATAAAAATAAAGATATCTGCAATATCTTAAAATGTCCAGAATCTCATCGGATGAAAAAACCTTGCAAGAATTGGCTTAGATTTGAGATTTGGAGCACATTTAAATTCATGTGGAGACAGGATGTGGTGGGGAAGCCATCTTGATTCTTCTTGAATTTTTAATTGCCTTCAACACCATTGATCATGGTACAAGTAGTCCTCAACTTACAACAGTTCATTTAGTGACCATTTGAACTTACGACGTCACTGAAAAAAGTGATATATGACCATTTTTCACACTTATGACCTTTGTAGCATCCCCATGATCACGTGAGTAACGTTTGGAAACTTGACAACTGGTTCATATTTATGATGGTTGCAGGGTTATGTGATCATCTTTCGCAACATTCTGACAAGCAATGGGGAAACCAAATTCATTTAACAACCGTGTTACTAGTTTAACAACTGCAGTGATTCACTTGACAAATGTGGCAAGAAAAGTCATAAAATGGGGCAAAACTCCCTTAACAAATTTCTCACTTAGCAATATAAATTCTGGCCTCAACGTAAGTCGAGGACTACCTGTATTCCTTTGCACTGTCTACAGGATTTGAAAATGGGAAGCACAGAATTATGATATTTATTCATTTTTCTTTGTGGCCAGTTGTAGACAATGTTGCCAGGTGAGGAGAAGCTGAGCCCATAGCCCCTAATTTGTGAGTCCCTCAGGATTTGATGTTCTCAGCTCTCCTGTTTATCATCCACATCAGTGTTGTGGTGATAATCTCTAAAAATTGCAATAGAAGCCACTTAATTTCATTTTTTCCAAACCAAACAGAGAACATAATACTTCAACCCTTGTTTCTTTTTTTCCATTTCTTCAATTTTCTTATAGGGAAGTTGAAAATAAGATTGAAGCAGGAAATATCTCGGTGAGTACATTCTATACGGTGTCTTATATTTGAATTGTTTCTTTTCAATATGAAGCTCCAGAAAAGTGGTATTGTTGTGGTTCTCTCGCTTCATTACATATTTATAGTCGGTGCAGAAACTTTTTGATATCACTTTGCACCACTTGAGTAGAATCATCCTCACTGCTACTATTTGGAATATTATTTATTTGTTTATTTGGTTCATTTCTATAATGCTGGTATTTGTGCTTAGGAACAATTGTAATAAAGAATCAGATAGACTTTCTGAGTGCTTTAAAATTGATGCTGCAGCATTTATACTTCATCAAGCATTAACTAAAGACATAGCCAGTGGTGTTCATGAAAAGGGTTTTTAAAAACTCAATATGGCAACTGAGATGCAAATAAACAAATCTTCAATTGTGTGATCCCAACCTGCATCTTGGATTTTTTGACACACACACACTCAACACCCCTGTGCATGGCATAAGGCAGTGATTCTCAACCTGTGGTGCACAGAACCTTGGGGGCCACAATGTTGTCATAGAGGTCCATGAAGACTTGAAGAAATGTTATGATTTAATTCTTGAGTTAAGTCTTGCGAGGTCTGTGGCTATGGTTGATGGGCCACAAAAGGTATTTAAAGGGGGCCCAATGGTGAAGAAAAGATTGAGAGCCACTGGATAGAGTTTAGAGTGAGAAAAACCTGATTCTTGATCTTTCTTCACTCTCTGCAGATGACACCGTTTGTTTACTGTATGATATGACTCTGTGTGTGTGTGTGTGTGTGTGTGTGTGTGTGTGTGTGTGTGTGTGTGTGTGTGTGTG